ATTTTCTTATTTTGATGTTTTGAGCTCTTTTGTGTTTAGAACAATATATATACTAATTTTTAAAGTATCAAACTGAATTTTTGTTCAATAAAAATCTTTCATATGCATCTGTAACTTTTTTTTCCCTAAAACTTTGTCTTCAAAATAAGGGTGCGTCTTATATTCCGAAAAATACGGTATATTTATTATTTCTATTTTATTGACCTTCCAGCCGTGCCTGGCTAACATTACAGAAGTTGCAATGACCTGGCGCATGTGCACTCTTATTACCATATCCAAGAATATAAAACTGGTTTTTACAAAGTGACCTGTCTTGGCTGTGTTCTAGTGTTTAACACCTCTAAAAGCTCTAGTGTGAGCAACATAACACTTTAAGGCCCTCAACGAACATAATGAATGATAGGGATCTGATCGGTCATAGAGGTAAGAAATAGCAGTCAGATGAATCAGTGAAAAGGATTTATCTCCTTCCCTGCCTGCCAGTGTCTTATGTAAGACAGATCTGTCTAGGTATAGAAGGATGTAGGTAAAATGATAAAATGTCCTGTGCACTAAAACACAATCAACTCCGACCGGTAACGTCTACAGGCCAGCAGCAACAAAAATAAACCTTAAGGGAAAGGAGATACATGGCACATGATGCTAAGGGCTCAAATGTATGTCGAAAAAGAGCATGTAACACCACCTTTATATCTCTGTTATGTAACTGAAATAGTCATTTGACTTCAGGAGGCCGGAAAGCAGTGGGAACTCAAAGAATTTCCATCTCTTCGAGTATCGAAAGGTAGCCAATAAGGCTGCCTTATATAGGGCAATTGTGGAAGATATGAAACCCCTGTCAAAGAATCAAGTCAAAAACTGAGCTATGGTTGGAACATTTGAGCAAAGTGGGTTCAACCTCCACACAATACATCATTGTTGATATGTATGTCATTTTTGTTGATAAATATCCACCGTGGGATGATGCAGAGACTGAGATACACATGTCAACCTTAGAAGTTAAACCCCGATGCCATCCGAAGGACTGCATAACCTCCATGCATGAAGCATGAGCTTTGGGATGGATGGGAGTAAGATGTCAGATTATGGTTGACTTGACAGAGACGGCCAAAGAGGAAGTGGATGAAGTGGGCACTCCTGAAGGTATTGCAGAAGCTAAAACCAGGGTTGAGCCGGCCAATCTGGTGCTACAAACAGAACGTGACCAGAGGTTGCTAGGGCTTTGGGGAACAGATAAATAGGTGGGTAAGCATATAGATGCAATCCAGTCCAGTCCAGACCAAATGCATCTATTGCCAATGCCCGAGGGTGAGGTACCAGACACCAAAATGCTGTTAGTTGAATGTTCCAATTAGGGGCAACCACATCGATCACCAGTGTCCTGAATCAAGAGCAAATCCAACAGAAAACCCCTCAAATAAGCATCCATTCCATCAGGAGAATCTGGTAGGTCAAGACAATTGACCCGCCACCAAATTCATCACTCCTGGAACATTGCCATCTAGCAGGATGATATGATCAATGTGGGCTCAATACAGAAGATTCAATGTTCTAAAATAAAGAGACCTGGACGGGGAATTTAAGATACTACCATAGAATTGTTGGAGTTTGAAGCATGAAGACTTTGCCCCTCAACAATTCCAGAGCTTGAGACATTGCTCTTTGAACAGCAAAAAGTTCTAAAACAGTGATGTGGAGGGAAGCCTCGTCATCTGTCCATAGGCACTGGAATTCCTGACCATTGAGATATGCACCCCATCCCTAAAGCAAGGCATCTGTGAAAAGATGGATCTCTGGACAAGGTGGTGGCAGGGGAATACCAATCGTAGTACTGTTCCAATCTGATCACCACTCGAGATCGAAGATGTTGATCCTGAATAAGGATATTGGGGAATCCAGTGGATCGGTGTTCATGATCCATTGGTTGTGTAGAGACCTCAAATCCCTCATTCCTGTGTGCTCGTCCCAAAGAAATGAGGGATTCAAGAGATGCCCACATTCCCAAAAGATACAGAACCATGGGAGTTGGCTGAGCCCAACTGAGATTGAAAAAAGCCCCCAGATGGACAATATAGTGTTGAAGTGAGAAGAGATATCTTGGCTCTGATAAGAATTCCTGCCTTGGTTGCTTCAGAAAGTGGTATCTGGGTGTGACATTTCACCAACTGATGAGATGGTGCCAGCAGTAGCCAGATATCCATGGAATGGTGTGAGCACAGGTTCAGGGAAAGGTGGCGAATAGAGACGGTTCATACATTTCAGCAGAACACACATAGACATGATACTAGTCCGAAGGGCATAGCACTGAAATGCAGCACCACAAAATGCAGATAGTGGCAGGATGACTCCACTATGGGAATGTGCAGATAGGCATTGGAGACACTGAACTTGGTCATCCATAGTCCTGGTGCAAAATACCAATGCAGAGTGAGTAATGACTCCATCGTAAACTTTGGAATGTCTAGGAATTGATTTAGATGAGAAAACTCAATGAACAGATGCCAATCTCCCGTCTTCTTTGGCACAACAAACAGACAGGAATAAAACCCAGGAAGAATTGGAATGACTCACCACTTCCCCCTTGACCAACAAATTTCTGATAGCAGTGGAACAAAGTTTCAAAATCTGAGGAACGGGCCTCTCTATCCAACAAATCCCAACAACATACCAGCCAAGAAACTAGGAAAAGTGAAAAAGCTGACAACCGAATCAATGCTAACAATGGTCCCAAAGTGATGTGCTGATAGCTGAGATGCTTTCTAAAAAACGTGTAGGGATGATAAATATCTCAGCACTGTAATTAGGGTCATACGAATCATAGAAAATTGTGATCCATTCAAGTTGACTACAGACTCCATTCTAGAACTCCACATTTCCAGGAGTGGGTCTACTCTCTGAGACTCTAAATATAATTCCACCTGTCGATTGTAGGTGAATGTATAGCTGTTCCTTCACATAACCGAGCAGTAAGCCTCCCTGAATGAACCGCAATATGAGGGGATGGAGGGAGAACTAAGTACTTGCCCTCAGCAACTGGGAAAAGAACCAAAACATCATGCACTCAATGTACCAATGCAAGAAAAGGAGCTGGAGGCAGCTGATTCAGATTGGCCTTATGAGAAGCCGACAGAGTAAAGGACAGTGCTGGAAAAAGCAAATCTAAATTCTCTCCAGAATGTCCAGGATCACATGCAAGTGTAGCCTCAGATCCCCCATAGAAACATTAACGGGCCAAATGTATGCCTCAATCTCACTATGAATAAGGTCATGGACAGCCTCAACTGAGAGCAACCCCCTGATTCATGAGCAATGCTAGATATCAGAGATGGGATAGGACATACCTGATTTGCCTCCATGCCAGATACAATAATCCGAGAATGCACGTCGTAAATCAGCTTGCCAAAATAATTTTTTTATTGTTTTTATTTTATGAAAATTAAAGAGGTAACATGAAGTATCTCCAACGGTTGTACTACTGAGAAACCCATTAGTGAATACTTTGTCGAGAAAAAATGACAATATTATCTGAAGGAGGTACTTATATACAATACCAAGATAGAGGGAACATTGATGTATGTGGAGCGTGTCATGACACAGTTATCATCAAGGGCAATTAAGTGGGGAATAAAAGACTGGAGTAAGCATGAAAAAATCAGACTAATGCTTAGAAGAACAAAGGTAAAGAAGTTCTATCAGTCAAATAATAGCTGTAGTGTGAGAGGAAGTAAGTACATTTTGGAAATCCATTATCAGTGAGTCAACACAATATTCTGCATTTTTCAGACCCTTCATCCCAGGTTTTTTCATTTCCTGCAAAGGGAATGCCAGTTCTATTCTTTGTGTATGCCTTTTTCTATTCTCCCCACTATTCCTTCTTCCAGCCTACTTCTCCATCCCTTCCCTCCTTCTGGCTTTCAATGTGCTTTGCCCTACATTATGTTGCTCTAGATAGCTGCCTAGATTGCCTACCCTTTAGACCACTACTGGAGCTTGGAATCAACCAGATCTCAAAAACAGGTTTTCCAGCAAAATTATTCAATAAAGCTCCAAAGGAATAGCTAAAAATTACAAATAATAAAAAAAACTTAAATGTTTTATTTCTGATTTGAAATGCTGAACAAATCACAATCAAATTAAGTTTGAAACCTCAACTGGTTGAGAATTTTGCTAAAACATTAGTCACAGTACCCTTACAAAACACTCAACTGAGGATGATTTTTCTTCAAAAAACATAAAGAGAGAGAGAAAAAGAAATAACCATCATAAACATTTGCTTTTAATACAAGTCCATTCCAGAACTTATGTAGACAGATAAAAAATCCTCATTCCCAAAAGTTAGCCCCCACCCCTGTCTACTTTGGGCTGAGAAATATTGTTTTTTGTATGTTTCAGAATTTTCATGTAAAGCTCAAAAATGTCTGTGTGCACAACTGTCCATAATTTTGAAATCACAGACAGGGAAAACAGTTAGTCAATAGCACCCATGGCCAACTGTTCTATGATTGAATAGTGGGACTTGACTGTCAGTCATATAGGATACCAATGTCATCAAAGTACAGAGTGCATTTTTGTGGCAATAGGCTGTGAACCATCATCCCTCAGATTTACAGTCAAAGAACGGTAACACTATACAATGTATGACCCTCTGAGAAAAGTAATTCTCTCATTAAGATATTTTTCACTCACAGAAGTTCTAGATATTACCCGAGACTAAGATTTTGAGAACAGCCTCTTATGAGAGTTAGTGCCACCTGCTGTCACTGAATTCAACTATACTTAAACACCAAAGAAGTTTATAAGATGTCCAGAAACTAGCTATATGAAAATACACATAGTATGAAAACACTTCCTACTTTTTTATTGTTTTGGTCTTTGTTCTACTGGGAGGTTCATCTTCCTCGCTGATTCCATCTAGATCTAAGCGAATACGGTCAATATCATCTTCAAAAGCTCCATAATTTGGCTTAAAATTCTCGTGCTCCTCCTCTTCTTCTTCACTGTCAAAGTTATATTTTGCCTTTGAAGCTGTATAGAACATATATAAAATTGTCATAAGAAATCCATCAGATAATGTTTATTACAGATCCAAACAAAACAATATTATACTGTTTCACTGCATTAACTACGATCTCAAAAACTTGTTGAGACCAGTCAAAATATTTTTAAAATGCCATTTCTTAAACATGTAGTAATAATAATAAAGTTATAATCAATTCTGCCCAACTCTTTATAGTTTTATATAATATAAATTTTATTACAGTACGTGTATCTATACAAAATTTGGCAGACTTTCCATAAACATTACAAGACTTTTTTACACAAACAATTTTTGAATTAAATATTTTTAATACAGATTTGTTTGTGAATATACTGAATTGTTTTGTTTACTAGTCCCAGTGCAAAGTGACTTTCATGTTAAGATTAAAAGATTAAGATTAAGATTTTTATTTATCTGAAAATTTTCAAATTTCTTTTGTATAATCTCTACAACCTTCTAACTAATTAAAAAAAAACATCATTTTTCAGTGAAACTTTATATCTTGTTTGTTATTTTCTGTACCCTAACTTTAAATACAAGTGTGGTTATTTGATCAACCTCATAACCACCAAAAAATTAAAAAATATCAAAATTAATCTAAATTCACTTTTTTTCTTTCTAGCATTGTTTCAAATTGTAACATGAAGCTATCTATATTTATTTTAAATAGCTTTAAGCTCCTAACAGTATATATCTGTTTATACTTAAATTTTGTTTTATTGCCCTTTGAACCATGTCTAAGTTAATATTTCCACCATAAAATTTGAAAATCAATTGACGAACATGAAGCTCATGTTCCCCTATCAAATTACATTATGCACTAGCTACTCGCGACTGTATCTCACGAAGAATTATTATTATCTTTCTTTATTTTACCTAATCTAACCTTATATAACCTAAAAAGTTTCTAATTTTCACATTTTAGTTACTTTTATAATGATAAATAAAGAATACACATGAAAAATAAGAAATGAAATACCTGGGTTTTTTTTTTTTTGCTGTTAACTGTCAATGACACTTAACCCTACTTTTTTTATACCAATGGTATTACAGCACTAAATAATTTTTTATTGAATTAAATAATGCGCAAAGGAACACACAATAATAACATGCAAAAAGCACACAATGTCACATAACTAGCATAATATTTCTGGCTTTCTAACTATTCGATAAGAGGCGTTAAAAATTCAGCTAAGCTGATCAACGTGTTTCCTGTGGGGATAAAATTGGAACTGGAAGCTAAATAGACAATTCTCTGTACAGAAGTATAAAATGTCATTTGCTAGATTAACAATTTGGTTCTCTATTGGTTATAAATTACATAGTATTAAAAGTCAGAGAGAACTATTGGCAATTTGTGAAAGAGAGGATGTGAAAAGTGGGTGTGACAAGTAGGATCTGATTTTCTATTTGATGGCTCTGAAACCAAATAAGATTGAAGGCTATAAAAATTATGCTTTGTTTAAGCAATGACCACATTATAATGAGTAATTTACATTAAATTTCATACTTCTTGAGGGATGGTAACTAAATGAGAGAAGAGGGGATACACTTGCTTCTTGTCATGACTTTAACATGTAAGTTTATGACACAGATAACACAGGCCTGTGATGGTTTTATCGTCTTGAAATCTTTACGTGTTCTATAGTAATTCCTGTATACTGAATCCAAAAATGATATTCATTTTTCTCCATCATGTACAGATTTTTCACAAAATGTCATATGTACTTTTACATAAGTGAATCATTTACATTGAAATCAGGTAACATTTTGTTATGCATAAAATGTTGACAACCACTGGCTATAGATTTCTATAGACCAATCGTGACGTGAGAGTCATACTGATCATTCTAGAACTCAAACATAATAATAAAAAAAATTAAACATCATAAGCTCTTAGGCTTACTGCTCAGTCACTGAAAGGTATTAAGATATTTGTAAGGTACTAGATAATCACACAAGTGTGGAGTTTAACTACACTTATATATATATATATATATATATATACACACACATACATGCATATAAGATAATAAATCACATAAAAACATAATCTGATAAAACCCTAGATTTTAACAGGTACACAGACCTATCAAAGGGCTAGGTTTTCTTAAGTTGATTTACCAAACTTTCCAATTCCAGTGTTTTTATTATTCATCCTATGGGATAGTTTACACCTTTAACTCTAGTGCTGACAGCTCTATTTTATAACAAACTTGTAGTTCATTCTGGTGCAGTGGTTTACAACTTTAACACCAGTAGTGACAAATCTATTACACAGCAAACCTGTAGTCCATACTGGTGCAGTGGTTTATCAAGTTAATTCTAGTAGTGACAGATCTATTATATAACAAACTTGCAGTTCATCCTGGTGCAGTGGTTTACAACTTTAACACCAGTAGTGACAAATCTATTACATAG